AATAGAATTTTATCAAAGTGCCAAAATAAAAGTAAAAATTTAAATGCAGATTTTTTCGTCTACCCCAATATATAATACTTATATAATTTTTATTTTTGTAATATAAGTAATAAATCAACCATAGGTAGAATACAATATTTAATATTAAAAATATCAAGGAAATATCATGCTTACATAAAGGTAAACTATTAATTTTTTGAAGTTATTTCTCCATCACATTACCCTAGTGCAATATTTTTTTTATATCTCAGACTGGTATGCTATCGAAATACACGCCGTTGAGTCATCTTTTGTCAATTTGTTTCTAGCCTTGGGCCATTAACGTCGCGCTGTAAAATAACAGTTATTGGCGACGGACTTCATAATTTTGAAGCGCATTCAGTCACCATTAAGTTAACTATGGAGGAGTTAATTCCCTTTAGACTAGTAAGAGAACTCAGATTTTTGGATAACATGTATGTACATAAAGTCTTTCGCACTTTATGGAAACGATTTTATAATTTATTTTCTCGTTTGCAGTATGAGATAAAATTTTGGCAACTACAAAGAAATCGTCTGCTGAAAAAAAAATCCGCCTACTCAAAAATTCATTTAATCGAAACTAGGAATATTTTCCGGTACTGTAAATTTTTATGAATGATTTTACTTAAAGTTCAAAAGGATGCTTAAACCTTAAGTTCATCTGCTTTTGCCAAAACATATTGCTGAAAGTAAAACAAATTGTACGAGATTATATAAAAAACACTTAGCTGCTGAAAAAAATGGAAATTTGTGTGGTAACGCTCAAGGAGGTATGGGTATATTTAAGAAACTGTAAAAAAATCACACATTTTTTTTTATTTCTAAATTGCCGAGAATGACCTACGAAATGGCTTCGTCAGTGTACAGAAAAGTTTCCAAAGGAGATTCATGATAGTTGCAGGGTTATGTAACAACGATAAATTTTTTAAAAAGTCTCAAGTAAACCCAAATTTAATTTACTACCAGCAGAATATTTTAGAACCAATTTTTGGAGAAAAAATTCCAGCCTTATATCGAAAGTATATTGATAAAGTTGAACTTGATTTCGACAAAACCTCTAGTCACACGTCTGCCGCATATTTAGCAAAGAAAGAATAAGAAACAGGAATAAAGTGTATCTCATTTGATAAAATACCTGTAAAATCATCTAATACTTCTCCGTTATGCTTTCGTTTTTGTTAAAACGAGCCTTGGGAAAAACGGTGTAACATCTTTGAGTTCCCGCCACACGGCTGGATCAACTTTTTTAAGGGAATCGATCACCACATGTGCAAGACACCTGCACTCGTTAATATATTGCGTGAACATGTCTTGAATCGCCCAGGCAACCTTAGTCACCAGAAGAAACCCACTCAGCCCACGGCCGGAAGTAACGAGAAGAAAAGACGCCGACGGGTTCAACCCCGAACCCTAGAAAGGGCCGAGAGAGCAAAAGGAGTTCCAGCGAAAACTTCGCTGTGAACGGTCACCACGAGACTCCTTCCTCACAAGACAAAATAAATTGGGACTCGGAAAATAATCTAATTGTACTAAGTTATAAATTAATGTAAATCTATAAATAATAGCTGTGACTTAATTAAGCGTAATTTTTATTTATCAAATAACACTACCTTTATTTGTTTCAAACGTCACAACGGCATCGAAGAGCATTGAATGAAGTTTGGAACACGGTTCAAAAGGAATAGAGTACGAGTAAAAAATTGGCAGCAGTACTAATAAAAGGTTTACTTTTATGGAAAATGCTAGCTAGAGTTATTATCAAGAATTATAGCTATCACAGACAGATGCAAATCGCCACAAAAAATACGGCATTTATAGATAAAAATTAACCACAAAAATCGTTTCCATAAAGTGAGAACAACCTTCTGTATATAAACTGAGCCATCTAACGAGGGTTTAACTAACACGCAGTATAATGTCTCCCCAATAGACAAATGTGCGATAGTGATGTATTGATGGTTATATGCATAGCAACACAGAATGACTGAATCAAGATTTTATTTAGATCAATGATTTATCCAATCATTGATTATGACGTAGAATTTAATGTGTTATAGTTTTAATCTTTCGTCAATTTATGAGAATCGTAGCGAAAACTTATTTCAATAAAGTTACGGATTTCTATCGATGGAACTTAGTTGGGGTCCGTTAAACCTAAAACGCAGAACGCCATTCTTTAGACAGAAGAACGTTTCGATGTTAATACTGTATTCTTATCTTCACTATAATATTCAGAACAAAATTTTTTATGGAAACCTTTTAATTATGTGTACATTAATATTATCATTTTTATGTTAAATATTTGTTCTATTTCGCCTGCTATGATGCTATACTCATTGAATGTTCGATTTTATTAGAAAAAAGACAGAAAGCCCTTTATTTTTTTGAACATTTCTAAAAGCAAGGGACGAATGTATGCAAAGCGAGCGTATGTGTGGATAGTTTTTTCTGCCTATTCTGGGATTGGATCACATTCCTTGAGAATTACGTCTCTGCTTCTCTGGTACTTTTTTAAGCGGATATTTTTCGTTTTGGTACGTTGCAGAAAGGTCTTATATAAATTCTATGGGATTGGGAAAAAAGTGTTCGGAGTTTGAAATTCAATTAAAGTTGTGTTTGTGTATGCTGATCCCCCCAAATTTGTTACTTTTGAAAGATGGAGTGCTGGAATCGGTGGAGCAACGGCTGGAATGAACTGACTTTAGTCGATACCAGAGAAAAGGGATTGCTGAAACAGCCAAACTCAGGAGTCGATCATTACAAGAACTTTTAACTTTGCATGGGACTCGAACTTTTCTCCAGCGAAAGTCTACAAAAAGCCAAAGTTTGCAACTGTACTTTCTGTTATGTTTAATTAATCTGGAACAAAATGCCCTTTTGACTAATAATTGTGTCATCCCTCACGCTACCATGTATTTGAGTGAGTGAATATTAACGTCACACTGTTCAGCTACACGAGGGCTTTTGGCGATGGTCCGCGTCATTTTGAACTATGGTCAAGTGACGCGGACGTCACCTGATGTGGCACCCCCTCTCCTATCTACCACACCACACCAACGGGAGGACGCTTGAGCTCTCGACAGATTTAACGCGCATCGCTCCCCTACACGGCGGGTCTTCAGTGGTATAGGGATCGAACTCATGACATGCTAGCCATGATCACTTGACCACTTGGCTACCGCAGCCACACTATGTAATTGAAAGGGATCACGACACTACAGTAGCCATACTTTTCGGGCACCCGGTAGAGTAAGAAAAGAGAACAAAACCTACAAATTAACTTTCGACGTATTTTTTATTATTTTATTTAATTTCTCTTAATAACTTTTTTGCATCATAGGAAAAATATTTTATATAAACTATATATAATCAGGAAAATATTTTTAAAAGATAGTAGTATTAATAAATATTACCTTTTTATTGAAATTTATTATTAAGTTAAATATTCGTTGCAAAATAAGTAAGTAAATAAATAAGTGAATAAAATTCGGAAATAATTCTTATTATGATACAAGAAGCTGAAACATTTCGTCTGTTGAGTTAAAAAATCTGAGACGGTTGTATTGAAAATACACATATCAAAATAATGCAAATTACTTTTCTTACGAAGAGTAATTTTTAGAACAAAAAATTATGAAGATTAGTTAGAGAGAATTTCTTAAAAATTATTTCTTTACGAATAACACGTTATTTCTTTACGAATTTTTTTTCTTACAGGCGAAAAAAAAATGTCAGGAATTTCTAAATAATTACTACAATTCAAAAGTGATACGTGTTTTGTTCACATTAAAACAAAAATTTCAAGGTAGTTCAGCAGTCGTTGTTTTGCCGCTTTGAAATGATGCCTTTCTATTCGCAAGCACACTCTCACTACCAGATTATAAATATATCATTTGAAAAATATTCTAAAAAATTTCTAAATAGAAAATGCTATTACTGAAGATGAACCAAATCACACACACACACACACAATTAAAACATTTATGGTACGAACTTTCATCAAAAGAGGGCGCTCTACTTCTTTACCTGAGAAGAATGAGTGTTAACGTGTGTGTATATATGCTTGTTGTTCACCTCATAATTTTCACAAAAGGAGCACATTATTCTTAAGTATTTCAGAGGCAAGCTTTTTGTTATGTGTTGCCATAAGTAAAACATAAAAAAATAATTATATTCGAATTTTAAGGATTGACACGTTTTACTGTTTCATGTTTTGGCGCATAAGTCCATTTCAAATAATATAAAAATTAATATTCATATTTTCGACGCCACAGTGAAGAAAAAATATTAATTATTTTACATATAAGCAGAGCCTCGTCAATTCGGATTTATTGATTAATCATTGATTCGGTTAACCTATAAAATGAACCAAAGACTTTTTACTGTATATTTTGGATCATGTATTTTGAAAACGAGCAATGGCAACTGACTGCACTATAACAGTGGTCTTCAAACTGTATTCTACGGAACTTTAGGGTTCCATGAAAAATTTTCAGGAATTCTACGAGTCGAAATAAAAATTCAAAAATTATAAATGTGTATGCAAAAAACAGATTCACGTTCTGTGTGGATTTCGTATGACCACAAATTTCTTCAGTCGTTCTCTCATTGTGGGTCCCACGGGGGGAAATAATTTCGGCACCCGACAGCCGTCTAATTATTTCCTCAACTTTTATTATAAGATAAAAAGATATTTAACAACGTTTTTTCAATTCCTACTATTAGTTCACTCTCTCTCTCTCCCTATATATATATATATTTATTTATATATATCTTGTTCAAATTTTCAATCGTTAATAAAATGCTTTCTAATCATCCATTCAAGTTCAAATACATTTTTTAAAGCTTGTACAAGATGACACTTGAAATACAGTTTTTTCAAATCTTTATTCATTAATTAAATTAAAAAACGAGTACATACTAACAAACAGAAATAATAGTCCAAGAGCATATATAGAAAGGAAAATCGTTCACATTGTGTCCCTGTAGCGCAATGAATAGCTTGTTGGACTTTTAATCCAAAGGTCGTAGGTTAGAATCCTCACCTGGGATGGCCTAATTTCTGAGAATGCGATTTCTACTTTACTATACTATTTTATTAGAATAATTAAGGTATCTACGTTGAAAATGTGTCATCTTCGGTCAAAAATCACTTTCTTTTTATTTATAATTTTAAAAATTCAAACAATTAGCTTTCTAAATCTATCCTTGTCTTGTCTGTGCGATAATTAGAAAAAAAAAGTTACAGGTGTTTAAAATATTATTTAATCTGCCAATAACAACTGGAATTGGTGAGATCGAAACCGGAATTCGACTTCTTAACATTCTTTTTACTGATAATTTTCGCAGTTTCAACCCATTGTAAATTTCAAAACAATTCTGAGGATTTTTTTAACTACTTTATTTGATGGGCAACAATTTCGATCTTTTAATTCGATTTTTGCAATTGGCAATATATGTTTCTTCTGACCACATATGTTTTTATTTTGATTTGCGTCTAACGAATTTTGCTCTTAAATTTCTTCTGCAAACTTAACTTTTTTCGCTTTAATTATACAATTTTTAATCGTTATTTGCTTCTGTACATTCTGCTTTTCGTATTATCTACTTATAATGGTTGGCAAAAGAATCAAATCAACTTCTTGAAAACGAAGCGTACTGGTAACAGATTCACACAAAAACAGTGGAAGTGGCAAATGTTGTAACTTGTAATGAACAAAAGCTGGATTAATTGAAAGATTTTTCACAGAAAGAATGTTTTAATGGAACATTAAGAGGTAATAGAATATTTGATTTAAATATTTTAGGAAGTGTGTTTTCTAATTTGTGTGTCCCCAATTATTTTGAGAAGAATCTGTACCTGTGTATGAAGATTCTATATTTGGACAAGCTTCTAATGTGATTGTGTAAAATGTGTGTGTGTGCTCCAAATGCACTTTTATTGTTCTTTTTTCAGCTACTGAAAAGCTAAGAAAGCAAAGTGCCGTCCGTGTACACAGGTTTAACAATATTTAAAAGTTTCACAGAAAGGCTTACACTTTTTTATGTATATTATTTTTCAGTGGCATTTGCTCCCTGATACTCACACCAGTTCTCAGCTCAGGTTGGACACTGTCCATACATGGGTTTCTCCCTGTTGGAGCAACAGTGAAAAAATGCCACTATTGTAGCACTTAGCATAGCTTTGATGTGATAGGTGTTACTGCCATAATAATTTTGAATTTTATTAATCATAACATTGGTTAGTTTTCCTTTCCCACCAAGGTTTTTCTGGCTTTTCTTAATTTTTTTTGGTGGCTACTCACTTTTTCTTGGATGTACCTTATGCAATAATGTTTGAGGACCCTTTTGACAGTATACACATCTTTAACAGCAAATTATCCTTGGGAATCACCATCACCATATAAATCAACATACGAGGGTTGGGACATAAGTCATGGCAACTATTTTTTTTCTTGTAGATATGTGAACGGATCACAAACGCGTATATGAGTCGTGTGGAAGTTCTACAGGCATAGTGGGTATGCAGAACAGCTACCAGCAGTGCCATCTGTGATAGCTGGCAGAACAGCTACCAGCTATCACAGATGGCTCTGTGATAGCTGGTAGTAGAGCAGCGAGGGCTGTGAAATCAGTCAGTTGGTGAGTGTCGTGTGAGATGGAAGTAACCCGTGATGAACAGCGCCCTTACATCAAAATAGCTGTTCTCCGAGGGAGAAATGAGATAGAATGTCACAGTAAATTTGTGGAAGCCCTTAGGAATAATGCCCTACTATACCGTACAGTAGCACGGTGGGTAGGAAAGTTTCGGCAGGGAAACCAGTGCTGAGCAACGTTCGGGACAACCACTCAGTGTGCGGACCAACTTGGCACGTGCCGTCATCGAGTAGCTCATGCATGAAGACAGATGATCGAGACAACAAACAAAGGCAGATCGAGAAATGCACAACAAACGCATCGTCATGTCAACTTTATGTGTGCTGTGTTGTCATTCTTTTGCACCGTGAAGGCCATCTTGCCCTGTATACTGCCGTAATAAATTAGTGTGTTACGATATTTCAGTGCTATTCATTGTCCACACATGCCGTTTACACCTTGTCCTTTCGTCTGTATATGTCACATTTTCCAACCGGACTGGTATCTTCAAGAAAAAAAGTAGTTGTCTTGACTTTTGCCCCAACCCTCGTATTTTAAAGATCTCGTGGTTCAAGAACATAAAAAGATTCCGTGCGTACCAACAGATTCCATGTTTGAAGTAAACCCCAGATGACTGCAGAAATACGCATGCATGACTGGACTGTTAGAATTCTACAAAACTTTGACATCATTTTCAAATCTAAAAGTTTCCCAGTGACGATGGATAAAGTTGCTATGTCCATTGAGACATGAATGTACACGTCTCTGCCGTCAACGGATATACCCCATTCTGCAACTGAGAAGGTGGAACATTTTGTAATGTTTTTCACTTACAAAGCTGCGTCGTTCCTGGCATCTCTAGCCGTTATATGCTCCGCTTGTCATACAGGGCCTATTCAGCGTAGCACATAGCTCTTTCGCAGACGAATATCCTCTTCCAATAACTCCATTCCTAAAAAATAAGTTGCAAAAGCAGTTATTATAAAATTGCCTCCACGGTAACTAACAAATGCAAACAAATCATTTAACGGTTGTTTGTGGCTAATTGTTCCGAAACTAACTTTTATCGAGCTAAGAACATTTTCTCTGGGTACCCATATTGCCGTCAATATTTTTAACAAAGCTTTTAATTGTTTTTTAGGTATTTTGAAAGTACTTGGTATAAATGCAAGTTATTATACACTGCGTGACTACAGATTTGGTGACATCTCTCTAGTCAGTGACTCTAAACAGCATTTCTCGCCTATTTGAAAATCAACCAGAAAAAATATATAGGGCCCAAAGAAAAAGAAAATTTAACAAAATACCAAAGGGTGAAGATGTTAAATATAAATCAGGAGAGTTTTAAAATAATATATATATAACTGAAATTCATAGTTTGCAAGTTCGACTGGCTATAACTTTTGATTCAAAAGAAATGTTTTAAAAACTTCTTTATCCTTCAATCTGTATTAATTTTTCAATTCACCCGTGCGAAAAATAGGTATACCAGATATGTGTATATAAGTAAAATTAAAAATGTAAAAATATTAGGGGGGTTTAGAAAACTAAAAAAAATAGGTCTTCGTAGTAGTCGAATGCATTAAGTTTCATGAATGAATAAATAGTAACAAAAAAAAATAATTCAACACCATATATAGAAAGGAAAATAGAAAATTACAAGGAAAATCGCTTCTTATTTTGACACTTAATCTTGTGATTCTGTCATATTTATATACATATTTATATTAATCGTAACTATTTACTAGTAACTATAATAAATTTTTTCTATGTACTTCCTAGATTGCGAACATTCTGTTCACGCGATCCACAAAATCCCTTTATACTTGTTAATGCAATATTTTACAAAACTAAATGGAATGGAAGGAATTAAATTTTGATGGAGTTAAAAATTATATAATAAACCCCCTTTCAGTCGTGAACACAATGTATACTAAAATAGCGCAAAACTTATAAGAACAGCACAAATTCACCTTTTTTTTTTTCAAGAAAATTCTATCAACAACCTTTTTTAACTCGTTGCCAAAGACAAGATACAAAAGTAGCTCGTTCAAAATATTACATCGTGACGTCACAAACGAGTGATATAACAATGTTACCGCGTGACCCTGACACCTTCCCCCGAGAGTCAAAAAAATCCAAAGATCAAATATGGTTAAAACAACCTAAGGGTCACGCGTTACACAAAGAAAACACTGTTTAGAGTCACTATCTTAAGATTATACATTTACATAAATACTCAACATTAAATTTTACACAAATGTACTTCTTAACTTAATCATCTAACAATAAAGCAAAAAGAAATGTTTTAAAGTTAAATTAATATTAAATCCTTCTTAAAGTTCTTATTTAACTACGGTTTACATTTACAGTCTGGGTAGCTCATCTGCATTAGCTAGTTTAGATCCTTTTATGTGGCTTGCTTCAATCTCATGGAGTTGAATGGCTAACGCCCACCACTGCAATCTCGGGCATTGTGGTGAAGCACTGGTAAGTAACTCTAGGGGATTATGATAGGTTAGTTTCAGAGCTCAAATAATAGCATACGCTTCCCTTTCAATTGTTGACCACTTTTGTTGGCTTGGATTCAGTTTCTGGCTCCCAAAGACTATAGAAAGGCTTGTCCTCTCCATCCAACTGACCTAGACAACATAAGACCACCGCCTGAGATGCATCCGTATGCAAGTAGTACGGTTTCTCTAGGTCTGGGACTTGCAACTCTGTAATTCCACATAATGCTGTCTTCAACTCCTTGGAAGCATTTTGAGCTCCATGGAATCTCATTAGGGATTTTCTTTGTAGTGAGCTCTATCAATGATAGAGCAATTTTTACAAAGTTCGGCATATAGTGTCTATAAAAATTGCGTGATCCTAATGCACTTCTCAGTTGCTTCTTGGTCGTTGGGGCCTCTAAGTTCTGAATCGCTTTTATTCTTTCTTTGTCAGAAGAATGTCTACCTGAACCAATGACATGTCCCAAGTATTTAACTTTTTTTCTTGGAACTCACACTTTCCTAAATTCGCTGTGAAGTTAAAAGGCTCCAATCTTTTGGAAACTTCTTCCAGATGATTTAAATGTTCTTCCCATGTATCAGAGAATGCTGCTAAATCGTCGATATACGCACGTTCAAAGTCAGATATAGTTTGGATCCCTTTAGACCTGGCTATTTGGTTGGTTGCAGCAGCGTTTCTTAACCTAAACGGTAGCACATTCCATTGGTACTGTCCTCGATGAGTTCGGAAGGCTGTTAGATGTTTTCTACTGTCTTCCATTGGTATAGACCAATATCCTTTCAACATATCTAATACAGTAATGAATTTTTTCCTTCCCTACTAAGAAATTCAACTCCATCATATTCTGCATTGGATATGTGCCCAGTACGGTAAGGGCATCCAAACTTCTGAAATCTATGCATA